AACAAGCAGACGATCAGGAAGATCGTCGCCCAGGCGACGGATGAGATGAAGAACGGCGGCGTGGTCCTCTCCCAGGACCTCCACGCGGCGCTAGCCAAACGCTTCGAGGCCGCCCTGAAGTTGAAGTAATTGGTCGAGACGACCGCGGACAGCAGGAGTCGGCCAGAGTCCGACGACATCGTGACGGCCTGACGCACGATCAGGCCCTGGAGCGGGATTCGCGGCTCCGACGAGCCCGCTCGCAGCTCGCGAGTTTGCGAGCGAGGATTCGGCTCCTCCTTGTCCTCCTCTCCTGCGGCTAGTCTCTCCTGCTCGTTTCTTGTGCTGCTCCCCTCTTCCAGTTACTTCCCCTTCCTCCTCCCTCCTCTTCCAGTTACCTCCCCTTCCAGTTACTCTTTCCGCTGGCGCCTCCAGTTCCTTCCTCCCCATCCTCCCCCCTTCCCTTCCAGCCGCCTCCCCTTGCCCCCCCTCCTCTTCCATGTACCTCCCCTTCCAGTTACATCCCCTTCCTCTTCCTTTTTTCCTCTAGTTACCTCCCCTTTCCCCTACCTCCTCTTCCAGTTGCCCCCCCTTCCAGCTGTCTCCCCCTCCCCCTCTTCCAGTTACACCCCCCCCCTCTGTCCCTCCACCTCTGGCGGGCGGCGGTGGAGAGGGGGGGGAGGGGCGGGCGGCGGCGGAGAGGAGAGGAGAGGTCGGCGGCGGTGGCGGGAAGGAAGGAGGGGGAGGAAGAGGTAGGGCGGGCGGCGGCGGAGAGGAGGAACGAGGGGGAGGGAACGGACGAGGAGGAGAAGTGCCATTTTGGCTCGAGCCTCCGCGGGTCGTCGCACTATGCGCGATCTCGGTTACGCTCGCAGGCGGGCGGCCCTTCTCGGGCGGATTGGTAGCGGAGCCAACTTGCCCAGGGAGCATTGCTGTCTTCTGGTGCTTGTGCAAAGGCAGACAAATTTGACTTGGCGTTGATGCGCGCCTTGCTGCTGAATTCGGGCGGCTAGTGTTTTTTCTCCGACGCGATGTTCCGCATCTGATGTTTTTCGTGCTGAACTAGAGAGGGGGGCTGTGAGGTTTCATTTGGTGTTTTCAATGATTTTGCGTCCTCCGATACCTCCCGAGTACCTCCATGTGCCTCCACGATCACAATCGTAGAGCAGGATGCCTATGCTCGGCTTGCCTCCATGCTTTCGGCTGCCCATGCCGACCTTCCCGCCATCTTCTCTTGCGACTCCTCGCAGGCCTTCCCGTCTGTGGCCCACTCCTGGCCGCTCAAAGTCCTCGAGCATATGGCTTGTCCCCCCCCCCGCTCTGCTGGTTCTTCGCGGTGCTGCATTCTCGCGTCCAGTGCTGCGGTGCCTTGGGCAGTCAGATGCTCTTGTTTCTTCCTACATGGTCTGGGATCCCCGGGGGTGCCCTGCGAGCGTTGCTCTCTTCGCGGCCTCTCTGAACCCTTTCCTGCTAGACTTTCAAGCGTGCTTCGCAGGCAGATACTGGGGAGTCATATTAGCATGTGCAGGTGGTCTAGGTGCCGTTAGATTGAAGCTGCAATTCCCCACTGTCCTGCATCGAATGTTCCACACGGCGCAGGCCCTGGCTGCTCAGGTGCTTAAGGCGAGCAAATGTCACATCACTCCACTGGCGGCCGCGTTCGCCCAGGATCTTGCTGCCAAGTATGCTGCAGCGTTTGCGTCTCTTGCGCTGGCATGGCCCCCGTTTGTGGTCGCGTCGAATCTCAAATCTCTGGGGCTGCGGGTGGGTCCTGGAGGATATCAGAAATCTTAGCTTACACCACTCAACAGATGCCGATGCCGCTGCAACATACTATCTGGAGCGGACGCACCCACATCCGCCGCGGCCGATATTTGCTCTGTCAGATGCGCGACCACCCTCTCATATGTGGCCCAGTACTGCCCGCCACCGAGCCACCTGCTGGCCACCGAGACTGCTTTCCCCATTGTGCGTTGGGCAGGGCGGGATGGTCCTCGATGCGCAGGCGGGAGGGGGGGGGGGTCCTAAAACGCCGCCGATCACCGTCCAGTCACACGCTGCGAACGCCAGAGCCGCACTCTCGACGTTTGGCAGGGGATGTATAGGACATTGCTAGAGCGAGCCTGCCTCGCCCTGTCGCTCACAGATGTCTGCCGCGGACATATCTCTCCGATCTCCTGGAAGGACCCTGCTTGGTGACAGTTATCGCGAGCCGCGTCGCTGGGGTTCCCCGATGACAAACAGCACTGCGCGATGGCCCCAGCCTTGTAGGAACGGCGAGGATTTCTTGAGGACCAGCAGCGCGAGGCCAAGGGGGGGAAGGAGCGGTGGGAGGGTTAGGATCCAACGCTCTCTAGCCAGTTCTTTCTCGGAAGAAGATTTCCCGAGCGAAGCTTGGAAGCAACTTTCATTCGGGGGGTCCACACATTGTTCCCCGACCCCGACTGTAGGATGAGGATATCGAAGATGGGTTGGGCCCTGGCCAGTAGCGCCATGTCCCTGCTGAGGCCTGCGCACGTTTTTGCCCTGATCAGGACTACCTCTCCAGCCCAGCTGCTCCCCCAGCGCAGGTTCCAGAAGGGCGAATCCCGATGCTGCTTTGGATGCGCCGCCCCCGATTCTCTTGATCACTATTGGCGGTGTCGTCTCATGTTCGCTCTTGGCTCTATTCTTGGGCTTGGGGGGGGTGGAGGACAGGCGGGGCGGACTTCAGAGGCTGGGACATGGAGCTTCTAGCAAGGTTCGCTTTGATGTGCCCGTTGGCTTTTGTGCGTTGCGTGCGAAGGCTCGCGCGCGCAAAGCCCAGGATGGCAGGCCGTTTCTCCAACGCGAGGCGCAGGGGCTCATCCCAGCCATCCGCGTCCAGACGCGGCGCTAGGAGTCGGACAAACGATGGCCCGCGGTCGGCCACGCGCGAAGAGGAGGGGAAGGAGGAGGAGGACGAGGAGGGGGAAGAGGAGGAGGGAACAGGAGGAGGAGAAAAAACAGGAGGAGGAAACGAAGGAGGAGGAGGAGAAGGAGGGGGAGGAAGCGGAGGAAGAGGATAGCAATGAATAGCATGATGGAGGGTAAAGAGGAGGAGGAATAGAAAAAGGAGAAGGCAGAGGAAGAGGAGGAAGCGGAGGAGGATGACATGGAGGAGCAGGAGAACGAGGATGAGGCGGAGGAGAAGAACGAGAAGGATGAGACGGAAGAGGAGGAGGAGGCGGAAGAGGAGGAGGATAATGAGGATGAGGACGAAGAGGAGGAGGAGGAGAAGAAAGAGGTGGATGGGGAGGATGAGGAGGAGAAGGAAGAGGAGGAGGAGGAGGAGAAGGAGGAGGAGGAGGAGGAGGAGGAGGAGGACGGAGGGTGACGAGGAGGGCGACGATGACGACGGTGACGACGATGGCGACGACGGGCGCAGGTCCGCCAGCGGGCGGGCTGCCCTTCGCCGCGCTGGCGGCCGCGGCCGAGGGGGCCCACGCCGCGGGCGTACCGTCTGAGGCCGCGGTCGCGGGGAGGGAGGTTGGGAGCGAGGGAGGGAGGGGCGGAGGACGGGGGTGAGGAGGAGGAGGAGGAGGAAAAGGGGGAGAAGGAGGAGGAGGAGGAGGAGGAGGAGGAGGAGGAGGAGGAGGGGGAAGTGGAGGAGGAGGAGGAGGATCCAGGTGGAGGAGGCTCAAAGATCGAGGAACGAGAGTCGACGAGGAAGAGGCTGCTCGAGGAGAGAGAGGAATGGAAGAGGAGCTGAAGTTCAGGAAACGAGGAGGAGCAGAGGACGAGGAAAGGGATGATGAGGAGGAGGAGGACCAGTGTGAACCGAAGCCGCATCAGCGATGTTGCAATGAACGTTCCCTCCAACTTCCTTCGTCGCAGGTTCTTAGAATAATATATTGTCATTGCGAGGGGTGGACCACGGATCCACGTGACTGTTGCGTCCTGCGAATCAAAAACCGTGCCTGAACGCCATTCCTTGGACTTCAACGCCTCGAATCAACGTGAGTGTTGCGTCCTGCTTGTTGCGTTGAATATACGAGCCCTTGAACTTGCTTCAAACTTATCAGACGAGTATGTTCGGCGCTCAGGCGAGAGCCTCATTTGGAAAACAAGCCGTCGTCCACCATCGAAACTGTCGCGCGCGTTTAAGACGAATACGCGCGGCGCTGCGCTGGCGCTGCATAAGGCGAGAACCACATGTTAGCCATCCATCTTTGAGACGGATGCAGACTTTGAAGACGAATGTGCGCGGTGCTACGGCGAGAGCGTCATGTTGGAAAACCATATGCCGTCCATCCTTGAAGCTCTCGCAAACGTTTGAGACGAGTGTGCGTGGCGCCGGCGCTACAGCGAGAGCTACGTTAAAAACCTGTTCGCGCTGCATCCGTGGAATTGCCAGGATCAATAATGGCGAGGAAGGCGGGGAAGTGTCAGCCGAAACGTCTCACCCGCTCTACCGACACGTCTGGGGGTGCGACAAGGAATAGTTTTCTAGAAGTGAACGGATGGAGGAGGAGGGGGAGTGAGGAGTAGGAGGAAGATCGAGGTGGAGGAGTGTCGAGGAGCGAGGAACGAGGATCGACAAGGACGAGGAGGAGGATGCGCGCCTCCGTCGCCGCCCTTAGCGTGCTCCGCGCGCCAGGGAGGGGGGTTCAGCGCCAGTCAGACATCAGCTCGGAGCTCCGAATGCTCATGTTGATAAAGCGTGTCGTTTTTCGAAATACAGAGGAAACAGGAGGAGGAGGAGGAGGGGGAGGAAGAGGAGGAGGAGGAGGAGGAGGAGGAAAAGGAAAAGGAGGAGGAGGAGGAGGAGGAGGAGAGAGAGGAGGAAGAGGAGGAGGAGGAGGAGGACGACGACGAGGAAAGGAGGAGGAGGGCAGACACGGCGATCCCTGATTCACGTCGGTGCAACGGAAGAGGGAGGAGGATGGCGAATGTGAGGAGTCCGAGGACTCAGAGGAGGAAGAGGAGGAGGAGGAGGAGGAGGAGGAGGAGGAGGAGGAGGAGGAGGAGGAGGGGCCTGTGTCCCTGTGTCCCTGGGAGAGGCCGCTGGGCTGGAGCGCGTGAGCCGGGCGAAGCTGGGGCCGGCGCTGCATAGGCGCCCCCCCCTTCCTGCCAGCCCGCGCATGCTGATGCAGGGAAGGGCCCGCCCAACCCCTCTGCTGTGCAATGCTTCGGAGGCGCAGGGCAGCGGGGCGCATGGCACCTCATCCTCCTCCTCCTTTTCCTCCTCTTCCTCCTCCTTCTCCGTCTCAGCAGCCATGTTGGCTCAAGGTTTTTGTGTTTCCCTGCGAAACAAGTGGATACCGCTAGTCCGTGGCCAGCTTCCTGAGTTTTTCCTGCACAGACTGCTCAACACACGTCACATACCTACGCCAGCACTAAACTGTACGTGCCTCTGGCGGCCATCTCCTCTCGCGAATGTGCAGCGCCCCAATGGCAAATGGGCCACCCAGGGCGCCCGCAGCTGGTTCCAGGGCTGCCGAGCATCGCGCGTGGGCGCAGCCGTGGCTATGTCGGTGGTGTGCGCACCCAAGCTCAGGAGAGAAATGGAGGAATCGTGGGGACCTCACTTCGTGTGCGCTCTGCGAAGGGCGTTCGTTTCGGAGGCAACAGCCCCCTCAGAGTGCTAAGTTTCCGTACCCCTGTTGCTGAACATGTGCGGCAACGAATGGCAATACTTGCAGGTCAATAGTACAATGTCCTACTGCGGGACAGGGACCGAGAGATTGCCAAATCGCGCGAACAGATTCGGTCCAGGACTGGGGTGTCAAGCGCACCGTCGGACACGTCTCTTGCCTCCCCTGCACAGGACGTTGATGACAAATCTCAGACTCGTCTCATGAAGATCGCGACCACGCTCAAGCAGCTTGGCGAGCTCAAGGACCCCGCAGTGGTGAAGGCCCGAGAGGTGTTGCAAGCGGCGTGTGATGGCATCGGATCACGTACCGTCCGCGGCAAACAAATGCGGGCCACATTCATCATTGCACAGCAAGAGTCGAAGCCCCTGAAAAACAGAGGGCGCACCAACAGGAACTCCTGGGCACTCATCTTGTTCAAAGCGAGGAGCTCGGTTCCAGTATTACCAATGTGGAGAATATTTAATGGATATCTTAGCAAACATTCGAGAGTTCGACACCCAGCGGTGGCAGGTTTCGGCAAAAGCCCCGTCCGCTGCGCCAGGCGTCTTCTCTTGTAAGGCTATGGTCCCAGAGTTGGATTTGCCAGTCGACAAACTTGGTAGAATCCTGCAGTCCGTGGGAGCTTGCGAATCTCTACTTGCACCGGCCACAGCTAGTTACAACGCGTTGCGAGAAATATGTTGCATGCAAAAGGGCATAGAATGCAGAAGCACATGCTGAAGCTGAGAACCCACCAGCCGCGGGCACTCCAGCGCATCAGCCACATGAGTTCCCCCCAAAGAAGCGCAGCTTAGAGTTGTACCAGTGGGCGCCGACGACATTGACGACCTCCGCACCTTCCTCAATGTTGCCACTGGTGCAGGTGCCCCTGTGGAGCAGCAGGTACGTGAGGCAGTCAAAAGGATGGCAGCTGCGGCAGAGCAGCTCTCGTTAGCAAAGTTCAGACGCACTGAGGTGCTGACGTGGTAGACGCTCGAGGAGGCATTGTTGTGTTAAGCAGTGGGACATCGGTCACCTCGCCGTGCCATATTGATTAGGTGGATGACCTCATTGCTTGGCCACGGCTGCGGGTGGATGGCGTGTTGCGCATTCTTGAATGGCGCGTGGTTTGTCTCGGGTTTCTTAGTGCGGCGTGGACGGCTATTGCGAGAACAGCACGGACGGGGAGGCATTGTTGCGTTGGTAGCAGTGGGGTTGCAGTCTGGCGGTTTTGTGGATGACCGCCTCGCTTGGCCTCGCGCGCCGCTCTTTGCGTTGAGGAGTCGCTTGCAGAACATGCTGCGCATGCTTGCCTGGCGCGCGCAATGTGTTGGGGGGCTCTGCGCGTCGACTTCGGCGGCTTCGGCGGGGGCTGCCCATGCGCGCGCTGCGTGCGACGCTCGCTCGGCTGATCGTGGCAAGGTTGTTCCCGGTCGTTGTAGCTCGCGCGTGTTGTTGTGGCGGCGGTCGGTTCTTGTTGGAGCGTGCCGCGTCAAGCACCGCCGGGTGTCAACTCACTCGTTGCCGCCAACGTGCCATCGCATGGCGCGCGCAATGATGCGCTGTCCAATCCCACCCGCGGGCGGGCATCCGCCCTGGCGCGGGAGCTGCGCGCCGGACATGATAAGCATCCATATGTTCAGCGTGCTGGCGAAAGTTCGGGCCTCGACGGGCTGCGGGCAGCTGCTCCCGATGCTGGCGGAGGCGGCGCGTTCGGAGGCACGGCGACTTATTATTTGGCCAAAGCGCACGCGCGCCAGCCTGGGGCTTGGAATCGACTTTCCTGAACTCATGCCTGGGCGAACTCTCGCGGCGCATGCGCAGTGAGGGTCCATTGGGGGGCCAGCGCCCATCTCGCCTTGCGCTATTGACTCCATCGGGTTGCACGCCGACTGCGTGGGTCTCCTTAAGTCTGTGGTAAAGTAGTCGCAACTCCCTATGCACGGCAGCGACTTTGGGTTCTTGCAGGCGATTGGAATGCGCATCCTGAACTGGACGCTTGATGGATAAACTCAGTACATGGGCTATGTTCTCGGGCGCCTAGCCCCGCCTGCTCTGCGACCGAAGCAGGCGCCCTCTTTTTGTTGGAGGGTTCCTTTCTGCGTGGTTGCAGGCGCGTGAAGTGCTGGAGGCGTGGATGATGCCTCCCAATCACTGGTCGATCTGCCCTAGCGTTCTCCGTCGAAGTCACGCGGTCGCGGGCGCCGCTGGAGCCGAATATGTCGGGTGCCATTTCCAGGCTGCGCCCCGCTTCCGTCGCGCGCGACGCGGGGCAACGTCGCGCGGCGCATCTAGATGCGCGCGGCGAGGCGACGTCAGCAGTGGCGCGGGGCGCAACTGTGCACGGACTCGAACATGACGCGCTGAATCGCCACGATGTGGCCGGGCCAGCGCTTAGGGAAGGTGCATCGAGGACGTGCTGGGCCCGCTGAGTGGACGCTATTGGTCCCACTCCACCGCGTAGACTTCTGGCTTGAGAAACTCTTGGGGGGGGGGTGGTTCAGGTGCAGGCAGGCAGTGAAAACGCGTGCGCTTACTTGTCCCGGGAGGGCATTGGATGTTGGCGACGAGCCAGGTCGATGTCCAGCCTATATCCCTGCTCTTGCAGGCTTGCACGGTCAGCGCAGTGATGGGGCAGGCGCGGGGCGTGCCCCCATCGGGGCCTTGGCCTGGGAACCCCAAGGTCTCTTTGCCAGAGTGCCAAAAGTAATGGGGCTTCGAGCTGGCTGGCGCAGATGAGCGGCGATTGCTTGCAGCAATCGCCGACGCATGCGACTCCGGAGATTTTCTTGCCAAGGCAGATGTAGCTCTGGCCAGGTTTGACGCGGCCATGGCGGCGGTTGGGCATGTCAGTGCAGCTGAGCGGGGTCAATGGGCGCAGCAGGCCTTCCTGGCGGGCGATCGGCAGGCTCGTCGGCGCCCCATGAATGGAGCTTTGCAAGAGGTCCAAGATCACGCTGATGCTCGACCCCATCCGCGCCAGACGGCCGGCGCATGTTTGAATTATTTAAAAAGGCATTGGTGCCGCGCGCGGTGCTGATCTGATGCGGCGCCCGCGCTATTCGCGACATTGGAGCCGGCTGCCCGCCGTCAGCGCCAGTGGCGCGAGAGGCGCCGTTCGCAAATGCATGTTCGCACTGGGCCTGGCCAGGTGGGTTTTCAGCCCCGAGCTTTTGACTGCGCATCAGGTGCTGGCTTCGCGTCGGCGGCGGACTTGTCGACGTGCTGCGAACGTTTGCGTTGTTGGAGAGATAGCAGGTTGAGCGCAGCGCTGGCAATATTGCCGGATTCAGATGGCGGGCGCCGACCCATTGCTTTCATGGGTGGGCATGCACGTATCTGGGGCCAATTGCGCAGGCCACCTTCCCAGGCGCGGAAACATTCAGCGCCCTTCGAAGGCGTTTCGACCTGGGGCGACTTCTACGGGCGCCGCCCCCAGCATTGCATAGCGGCAGAGATTGCCAAGTTGCGCGGGCAGGAGTCGGTCGGCATCCTCATGGACGCGTTCAAATCTTGTGGAATCGCATGGCTGCATGCGCTTTCTGGTCGCGAGCGAGAGCTGAGGCTTCCATTTAGGGTGGTCTGGCTTCCTCTGTCGTCGCATCAGGCGCCCAGCCACATTCGCGCCCATGGCCCCCTTTCCTCCGCGGTTCGATTGAGACAGGGCGTCCGGGCGGGCTGCTGCCATGCCTGCGCGATGGCGCAGCTCCAGCTGCTGTGCGCGCTGTCAAAGGTGAGGCCGTTGCTTCGCGATGTAGCGTCGCGCGCCGTTATGGACGACGCCAGCTTCCAATGGGTCGGCAGTGACATGCGACAGGCAGTTACTCTGTGCAATGCAGTGAAGTGGTTTGCACAAGATGTTGTTCCTTTCGGCTCATCATGCAAGTTGTCAAGTCTGGATGCACATCTAGCTCGCACAGTGCTAAGCGGGCATTGCGTGGGCCTGCGCGGGCATTGAAGCTCGAAGTCCTTGGACGCATGCGAAACCTTGGCAGGTAGCGGGTTGCGCAGAATTCAAGAAAGGAAACGATTGGCTCACGCGCTGGCTCGAGGGGCTCGGCTCAAGGCTCCCAGTCGCGGCACCGATGGAAAAGTGCGCGCGTTATCGCGTGCGGGGCTGCCGCCCGCCGCGGCGCGCGGCGCCGGCGCCAGTGGGCGGCGCCTGCTACACTCGACGAGCTCCGCGGCCTAGCGGGGTTCCAAGTTGGGGCAAGACAGCATGCGAGCGTCGCAGCATGGCTGGCCACCCAGACCGACGAGTTCGACGCCGTGGTCTTCGGTGGCACCATGGACCTGGTCTGCCGTTGCGCCGCTCTGCTCTGGGATAATGTGATCTCCCTGGCGGTAGTGTAGCGATCACTCGTGAGTAGGATGGTGTCTCTTCAAGTGGATTGGTCAAGATGTCACGGGCCGTTGTCGGCAGTGGCATTATTGGATCGCTTGGTTACCCCACTCGTGAAGCTCAAAGAGCTACGGC